CAAACATGCATTTGTCATATCTCACCTGACCTGCTGTCCTCATTTTCTCTTGTTTTGGCCCTGCTATTTATGAAGAATATCTGTGAGGTGATTTTTTTTTTTATATTTTTTTTTTAGGTAGATTCCCATTAAAACTGTTCAATGTTCACTGTATGGGTACCCCTTTACCCATCACGCCCCTCCACTAAAACACCAACTGTCAGTCCGTCTGTCTTCTGTAATTACAAGAATCTTCTCTTCCACACAAAGGACCATAGGGCAGAATGGGCTGTAAATCTGATGACAAATGAGGCAGGGGGTCATTAGTGGACAAATGGGTTTTGGGGTTAATTAGAATTTCTCTGCTCTGCATTTGATAGCAGTGCTGCATGTGTCTGTGGTTTATTATCAGTGCTATTTATAAGTTTGAACCACTGGAACGTGCTCTCTCCAAGATGAGAAGTTCTCCAAGAACACCTAAAGCTAAAGAAGTATGAAATAGCCTTAGTGTTTTATGTTGTACAGGTTGTGCATTTAGCATGTAAATATTTTGAAAGATTTAAACTCCCAATACGGCTTTAATCTGCCCTTCTACAATAATAATGGTTTTTCTTCTTGCATCATACGGAACATGTAATTTGACGAGCTTCCAAATGAAACTCTGAGCATAAATAACTGGTTGCTTTTGTAGGGTGATGTTCCAGCTTGAATATTCACACTAGTATTGGTATCCCAGAGMAACATATTTTTTCTACAATGAGTTGTAAACAAATTTGAGCTTCATATTTAGATGGTGCTTCAACCCTGCTTACCTTATATTTTTGTATTTGGTCTAGCATTTAAACTTCATCTGTCCAATCAAATTAGTTGTATTAAATAAGGCTCTGTATCACCGTCATCTCTTAAAATGCAGACGTGTTCGGATCTTTTATAGCAGCAAAAGGGGGAGCTTTTCTTTTTCTTTTTCTACCTTTTTTTTTACAATACAGTCTTTGTGGTGGCTTAGAGAGCTACCTATATGCCTAAAGTGTGGTTCCTTTCTCTTTGAATTGAACACGTAGGTAGTTGTTACAACCGAGTGCTGAGGAAAACACGTCTGACAACGACAGTGAGCAAGAGAAGGAATTCTGATGAGTTGCACACAATTGTTCAAAGTAATTACATTGATATGTCTTGGAGGGGTTGGGATTCCATGCTACATGCTGCTCACAGACATCGGTTAAAGGATTTGAAAGCAGATTAAAGCTCAGGGAGGTCAGTGTTCTGCAGATCCTGAGAGGAGGGCAGTAGGGATTTCAATATAAATGTAAAGCAGTTTGGGAGCCACAAACAAGAGCTGTTCTATTTATTTTGCGACTGAAAGTTTAAGGCAAACACATGGATACTTCAGTTTGCCTCAACATGTGTGATGGCACCTCTCAGAAAACATGACCAGCTTGTTGATGCTTATTTACTGTATGACTAGACCCGTCTATTTAATTCATTTTAAGTAAAAGTGCTGCTTCATACACCTGAGTAACAACTAAAAACACATCCATCTGAACAACTCACTGAGCACTCACTATGATAATCACTTATCAGGCTTGGCATAGATTACTTGAAGCAGATTTTAATTTTCCAGAGGGGTAGTTGCAAATGTTTCACCTTCCAATCTACAAAATAATCATCTTATACTTGAGACCTCAGCAGTTGCTTTGTAAAATATGGAAACATTTTTAATTAACTAACAAGTACATTGACAAAATAATTTTGACATCAGGATTTTTCTTTTTACTTATCTACTGTTTTTGAAGTTTTGAATCAGTTTGATTTTATTTCAGGCAATCATTTGAGGACTCCTCTCTTTGTATTTCAAGACCCACAGTTCTGTCATCATGACCCCAACTGTAGGAACCATCTCTAAAGAGCCTTTAGATGAACTGATGATTATATTTATGCACGTGAATTAGGGATGCAAGTTATCGATTAATGGATTAATCTAAAGTTGATTGATCTTATCGATCGACTAACARTTAATTGATAAGCTGCCATTTTCCTAAAAACCTGACATTTCTTTCTATAACATGAAAGGCTAATTTTTTTACACACTAAATAAAAAAAATACAGTATTATTTTAACAATTCATTGTGCCAGCTGTGTGAGTAAACACTGGCTGAATGAACAGAGAAATGTGGATTTCTCTCACATTATTAAACTTGGACATATTTATAAAATATAAGAAAACAGGAAGCAAAACACTTAATCCACCCTGAAGATGAAAAACTATAATTTAAACACAGGGTAATATTTTAAGAAAAAGATTAAATCAAAAACAAACTAGGAACATACTAAAATATCCCTGAAAGATGTGAGATACAAAGGCAATTATTTGTTTGTTTGTTTGTTTGTTTATATTTCCTCCGCTTCTATCTTAGCTGGGCTGTACGGCATGATCTGACATCAGTTACTGTTCATTAGATTGATTTACTGGCCGGGGTTATGTCACACAGATTAGATTAACTTCAAGTTAAATGTTTGTAGCGACTTAACTTTTTTTTTGTTGTTCTTTCATATGGAGTTAAACTCAACAAGAGGAATTAGCCACAGTTAGCTTACCGTTCTCTGTCATCCTGCTCACACTAGTGTCATACTGCTTGATGGTCTGGTACAGCTTTTGGTACTTGTCCTTCAAGTTTGGTGTAGTCCGTTATTGTTGTGTCGCAAATAAAACTAAATAAGACTCCCACTTTTACGGTCCCGCCCACATTAAGATGGCTTCCTGCTCGGTTTAACAGGGCCGTGGTAGAGTAGCAGCGCCCTCTGCTGGATGAAGGCAAAACGACCCTGAAATAAGGTATAAACAGATGTTTTCAATTAAATTTTAATCTAATTAACCATTATTTGACAATAATAAGTAAATTTCATCCATAAAATGGGGGTATCAGATTATACATGGGAGTAAATTTTGACTGAATATTTTTTTTATGTACAACCTTAATAAGTTTCAACATTTTCTCATATTATATAACTGAAATATTGTGTCATGGAGGATAAATAATTTCTCTCTCCCTCCCGTGTCATGTCTAACCTAGTGAAGCATATAAACAGTAATCGTTTACTCATCAGAGTCAGAGAACGAAAATTTTGAAAAGACTGCTTGGACCTTAGTTGCATGTTCATGTTGTGATAAATCGATCTGGCCAATTTAACAACCGGCTTCTGCTCTGGTCTGGGAGCAGATTGTTTTTTCAGTGACATGCGAAATGGGAAGCTCGCGCTGCCCGTCCTCTGCAGCGACAAAACACGCTCGCAAGTGTGTTTCCCTAAWAATGTGTTTCCACTGGAGGGCACAACGCAAAGGCTGAAAATTCCTGAAGTCTGTCCGAAATGAGTGGTAGCAATATACACGAGGATTAGAGTTTTTTTTATTTAAACTCAAAAGATGAGGGTTGTATTATACTTGAAATYGCATTATACAGTTATCAAATTTACCAGTTATTAGTTACCAGGGAGTGACTTCAAGATTTTGTCCAGACTGAATAGGGAGGGGTTTGTGCAAAAAGTCAAGGTTCCCAAAAGTGGATTTACTCATTCACAGACTTGGGTTTTGAAAAGGTCAGTGTTTCCTTTACCATTGCAAAAGGAGCCCTCCCCTCATTGCCTCTGCAACCAGACCATAAATAAATGAAAATAGATAGACAAAATAGCCTTGGTGTTTTATGTTCTTCTGGTTGTGCATTTAGCATGTAACTATTTTCAAATATTTATTTTTTTAATAAACACCATAGTGTATTGTTTTTTGTTGATATAATGTTTTTTTTTTCTTTCTCATCTAACCTTCTGTGGTTTTGTCATTTTTCTTTTTAAAGGTAGAGCGGCCCCTACTGGTTGCCGCATGACCTGATCACCTGTTCCCCCATGTTTTTGTCATGTGTCGTCTTGAATGGGTGTTCTTTCATGTAATTTCATTGTCCTCCGTACAGTGACAATAAAGCATCATCAATCAATCAATCAATCAATCAATCAAATGAATTTAATAATACTGTTATGATTTAGCTTGAATTTTAGCTAGTCATTTATCAATTTGTTACAAAGGAGTAATTTCTGAAATGTGTACAAAAGTTGTATCATTCTTAGGATTATAAAGCTCTATACTCTCGTAACAAGTAAAAATAATACTATGGAGCAAGAAGAAGATGCTCAGAATTTTTTTCTTTTACAACTGACCAGARCGTTTGCTGCCAACTGCGAGCTTTCATTTAGGAGACGTCTCGAGCTGACTCAGGCTGCAGGGCCGTCCACGTTCTGTTATTTTAGGCTTTGGTTGTGGGCGAGAAGTAGGAGCTGTCARCTTAGCTTTGTGAAATTAAAAAGGACCAAGGTATACCCACTGTCATAGACACGGTACATATCGCTCTATATCTAAACTCTGCATTTCTGCCATTGAAATAATGATTTTTCCATGGGTTCGGATCCCACTTGTTTTTTCAGCTTTTCATACACTTTTTACAACATAGTATTTCCTATTATTTTAGCCTCATTCACAAATTTGACCTTCCTTAGATTTTAATTGTTTATACAAATTTGACCTTCCTTAGATTTTAATTGTTTACATGCTGGGTTTTCTCACTCATTTTGCCAAAGACTTTTTGTAGGGAGTAAAAGAATCTTCAAGGATTTTTTTTCTTTAAATTTTATTCTTCAGTGTGCTACCAAAATTCGTGGCACATTTCATAATTGAGACACATTTTATTGTAGATTTTTATGTAAGTTTTTTTCATATTGTGGGAGAAGCGGTAACCATAAATTGTAATGTAAATAAGGGTTACCACCCAAATATGGGTGCTATGTTGCATTTGCATTGGTATTGTTAATCCTCAGAAGGTCTTATAGGGTTAAAAAAAACAGCCATACATTTATTTATGTTCATGATTTTTAATTACGTATCTTTTTCAGTGTAGTCGATAAACACACAGAACGGGTGTCCTTGATTAGAGTTTTATTAAGCCCTTAGGAACACTGTACCTTTCTTGTCTCTGCAGTGCTGGATATGGCACGTCATGTCCCGCTGTACCGGGCTCTACTGGAGCTGCTGAGGGCCATTTCTACCTACACCTCCTTGGTTCCACTGCTGCTGCCTCTGTCGGCGGAGCCCGGACAAGAAGAGGAAGAGGAAGATGAAGAGCACTCTGAAGGACAGACCTCTGTAGGAATGCTGCTGGCTAAGATGAAGACGTGTGTGGATACGTACACAAATCGCCTCAGGTAATGAAGTCTTACGTTTTTAGATAAACTCATAAATTCCTTTCTTTTTGTCAAAACCAACCTCAAACACAATAAGGTAATAGAGTTCTTGATTTAGTTCTACCTGCTTGTTTTTTGTGTAACAGTTTTTAACAGGGCATCTTTACATCTCTTTGCCCTTTTTTCACTTGATGTAAACGGATGTAGCCCTGGGGGTGAGGGAGACTTAAGATCCTGTCACAACTTCTTTTAAAGACACACAGCTTGAGAATTATGCCACCATACTCAAAATATATAAGGCCAAGTGGAAAGTGTTGTAATGTGGGTTTGTGGTGATTTAGGTTGCTTTTGCACACAGATGTTTACAGTGTCTATGAAAAGTATTCACCCGCTTGGATGTTTATGCTTTTACTGCTATCGTAAACCAACCATGGTTAATATAAATTGACATTTTGAAAAAAAATAAATGCTTGAATGTCAAAGTGAAATGAAATTTCTACAGAGTAATACTAAATAAATAAAAATAAATTTGAATATGTTTTAAAGGCAACAAGGTGCAGTGGAGTTGCAGAGTCAAAGCTCAGACTGAAATACAAAACAGAGTTTGTGTCTTGACGTGAAAAATGCCGTTCATGCCTGATCCTCACTCAATCTGACAGAGCTTGAGTAGTTTTATAAAGAATGGAGTAAAATTCCAGTGTCCAGATGTGCAAACCTGCAGAGACTTATTCGCAGAGACTCTGTGCTGTGATTGTAACCACACTGAATATTGATGTTAGGGGGTTGAATTTTTTACACAACATATTTTATTTATTTGTTATTACTTTGTAGAAATTTGATTTGATTTCACAAACATTGAAGTGTTTTTTTCTTTTCTCTTTCCCTTTTTTATGTCAATTCATTATGGCTACAATAAAAACATAAAACATCCGAGGGGGAGTATACTGTATAAATAAGAGACGTGAAGATTTAATAAACAGAAGAGTGAGCGCTTCTCAGCTGCTGGAAGCTTCTCGACAACATGTTGGACTCAGGTTTACATACATACACACTGCGTGGCGTGCTTGCACATCGGAGCTGAAATATTATGAATGATGTATCCAAGGATAATTTTAGCAAACGCCTGCCATGAATGTTGCAGCAGCAGTCCTGCTGGCTGCATGGTTTATCTGAGGTTCCACTTCTTAATAACTCAGTAAAACAGGGAAAATATCTAGGGCTGCACCTAACAACTATTTTGATGATTTATCTGTAAAACAAACAAATAAATCATTTATTTATTTGGGGTTTTCTTATTAGTTGATTAGTCGACGATTTTTTTCAGTCACAAGGTCCATCTATGCTTCCTGTGGTCTCATCTCCCATATTCCATCTCCATTTACGTGGGTAAATAATAAAAACATTCTATAATAAAATTATGTGTTGACTCTTTTTTTAAAATAATCAACGTTAACAAATATTTTTGAATAATCCAGTGCAGCCCTAATAGTTAAATGAGTTTATTAAGTCTCAGGTTATCTAAAAGCACCCGATGCCACAACATGGCTGAAAATTTCTTTTTGTGTTTTCCAGGTCAAAGAAAGACAAAAGCAAAGGTGTGGTAAAATCCGAAGGATCCGACCCAGAGCCTGAAGGTTTGACACTGCTGGTGCCTGACATCCAGAGGACAGCTGAGATCGTCCATGCTGCCACTACTAGCCTACGGCAGGCCAACCAGGGTACATGGAAATGTTACTTTTAAAACCTGGGGCWTTTATTTTAGTACACTTTAATTTCAACCTAAGCATATCTTTGTTATATTAATAAAGCATGTTTAGGTTAGCCTTTATGTTGTACCCTTATTTATTATTATCTTTACCAAGGAGGTTATGTTTTCATTAGATGGTCGGTCGTTCTGTCTGTCAAGATTGCTGAAAAAGTTATGATCAGATTTTGGTAAAGGCTGAGGTTGTCACAAAAAAAAAACAAGTGATTACTTTTTTATTTTTCCAATTATAATTTTGTTAATGGTGTTTTGAAATGTAAAAATTCCACAATATGTACATGTCACTGTGTGAGTGACCCTAGGGTCATGGCCGAGGTGTACACTCTGAGTTTTTGCAGTAGTCTTTGTTCTGCCCTCATGGTTAAAAACATAAAAAAATACACAACTCAGTTTAGACTATAAAATAATCACACTTCTACTTGACTTCAGGTAGGTGATATGTTATTCAAGGGTGATGTTAACCTGTTTCTCCTTAGCTAAAAACTAAAATCCCTTCTAATTTGTATCTGTGACTCCAGAGGTTCATAAATTAATCCAGGTTTCTTGGATTTTATTCCCTCGAGGCTCTGAAATCCTTCCTGAGCTCAATAAAGAAGATAAATAATACGCTCAAGTTGTATCACAAGATTCAGACTTTGAAGAATTAAAAAGGGCAAAGTAGACATGTCATAACTTGTCCCGGACATGAGGTAATAAGGAAAGAAAGAAGATTCTTCAAGCTAGTCATTAGTCACCTTAAAGAGTCGGCGCCATCAATAAAATGTCCACTGCATGATGAAGCATTCCTACTTTCACATTACCTTGTTGCTACACAGTACACAATATTAATTATCCCCCTCGCCCTCATTTCTTCAAGCTCCCTTCAGAGGACTTTTATGCTCAGCCCACATAAATGGTTGTCTAACTGATCACTTCGGTGGGTCGTTGGCCATTAGATGTGATGAAATTGTGCGTGTGAGATACGGGGGTATAGTTAAAGATCAATGACATGTCTCTTAATGTGGAAAAATTCATGATGGGGGCTCTATTGTGGACAGTTGTACGGTGTAGAGCTGGCAGCATCAGAGCTTTGGCAGACCTATAATCATTTAATTAGTCAAAAAAAGTATTTGGAAATAYATTCTAAGACAAGTCGTAGTCAAACAGGAGGAGGGAAGTATTGAGTGGAGAGAGGAGAAAATCCTCGGTCATATCAGGACAGAYGTTATCAGCTGCTCCTCTTTTCCCTTGTGCACTTCTTACTCATCGAGGTTGAATTAAAATGGTTTTGTAATGCACTCTGTGAGCAAATAAAACAGAAGACCTGGTCTGACTTGGGTGTAATTTAGTCCACATGCACACCAGTGACCAGTAAGTAAATGATTTGATTTTCAATGAGCTGGTATATCCATGGCAGGCACTAGCATKTATAACTGGTGGCATCTTTAGTGGAGCGATACTGTTAGACAGTTGCCTATGCATTTGATAGTAATAAAGAATACTGAGAATAGATTAGCGCAAACATTGAACAATGTTACCAGCCATTGCTGACAAAAGATGGAATTTGAAAGGAGTCACACTGTTKGGTTTGAAGGATGCAGTTGCCAGACGTGGTGTATATAGACCACACAGTGGCCCAATATCAGAACAAATGGGTACACAAGTGCTTTGGGAGGATTTTGTGCACCCTAGACAAATTACACCAAGGGAGGATTTTCCTATTGTCCCCCAGCATTATAGATCTTTGACATCTGTACCTGCCAGCAGGAAACTGTTTTTGAACTCCCTACAACACACTTTGTCCTGACAACTGGCATTAGCACTGCCACAGGTTTACTGTCTTATAAGCTTCCAGTAACACCAGAACGGAGACAGGTGTGTGATAAATCTTGATTATGTTACTATGGATGATTATTGTGTGCTTTTATGGTGGMACTGAGGGAAGAGGACAAACTTTGCCAGTGTTGTGCAGAGACACACTTGTTTCTTCCAACATCRTGATGTGGGGAGTCATAGGGTTTGACTTCAGGTCAACTCTGGTGACTAGGGGTGTAAATCACCAGCTTTATCACGATACAGTATTATATCAATTGTTTGGATGACGATTCAATATTTCCCTATCACGAAGTCTGTCAGATACGCTTTTGATTCAGTTTACAAGTCTGCAATCGATATGTGATATCATATGCCCATCTAACACAATGACTGTTAGATGGGCATATGATATTGACCTACATTGAGCATATGATGACAGTATAGTTTGATATTTTCATTTTGGCCTTGATATAACTGAATCATGAACCATTATATYGATATATCGATATGGATCGATGTATTGTTACATCTCTATTTGTGACACCTTGTGTCCTCATGTCTTACCCTCTCAAGACATCACTCTGGTCTAGTTTACCAACAAAACAACACTGATCCACACACCCTGAATGTAACCTCTGTCAAATGTCAGGTACTGCTAATTCTCTATGTATACAGTAGTCCCTCTATGACAGTAAAGTCCTATGATCAAACGTGTTAGTTCAGCTCAGATATCAGCTCTGACCAAGATCTAATCTGCTGAACTGAATATGTATGTAAAGTTTGGAGATTTTGAAATTAGCTGAATAAAATGTATTTTCTTGCTCCCACACCACAAATTGTAAATACTACAGTAACATTGACATCTCACAGCACTGAAAATCTTTCCCTCAATGTTTTATTTTCGTTTTTAAAATTGTAATCTTGTTTTTTTCTTCCCGACCCCAGAGAGGAAACTAGTCGAGTCTGCAAAGAAGGTTTGCAGCCGACCAAAGCCGCTGTCCATTCTCCGTTCTGTTGAGGAAAAATTTGTAGCTGCCATGAAGAAACTCCAGTTTGGTGAGTTTGCAACTTGATTTTAATAATTTATGACTCTTGGCTTAGAATTGACTAGCTGCTCATTACGCCTTGACAAATTAGCGTGTAATATTTGTTTCAGACAATTTTGAATAAGTGACACCTACATGCATCATTCCTGTTTAGCCATTCCAAGCATGGAAACTCTTCTGTTTGGTTTTTATTTTGTTAATGTCCAAACGACAGATTGCTGAAAGGGACAAAGATCTCTTTTGTTTTGTCTATCACTCTTTGTTCGGTCTTGTCATACTTAATTATGCTGCTTTCCCTGTGTTGTGATTGATTTTGCAAGCAGCTGGATGTTTGAAGTAATTGTTAGTGACTTGACTGTAAACAGTGCTGTTTCTGTGTGTCAGCAACATAAAACCAAAGACTCAGAGGTTCTGTTTTAATCTAGAGTTAGAGACTGAAAATATCTGTGGTTTGCTTGATATATAACAACTTATCATAATGAAAAAGATCAGATAGGGTAAACCAAGTGCTTTAAGGGCAACATTTGTTCTGAGATGTTTTACTAGAAACACCACGTAACACAGGCAGTTTAAGAATTAAATAAAAGAACTAAAATATCTCATTTGTGGCTTTCAACCACTTTTTTGAAGATTTTGCGTTTTCAATAGGGATGCACAGCTATGAAAATTTCAACTGATTGATATCCGGTATAATTGTAGCTGTTATGGCCGATAACCGATATTTACCAATATCACACAAACACACAAATTATTTATATACATATACATACAAACACACTTGTCTTTTTTCAATACCGTAAATAAACAACTAGACCGCTGACATGGCTCTCTACTTCAGTTATTCCTGGCTGTGCATCACTAACACTATCATGATCAAACAGATGCCTCTCGACCAAAACATTTCCCCTCCCATAACAGAAACACAAAGCTAAAAATGGGAAATCAATATCAGATGTTAATATCAGCCCAGTTTTACTTATCGGACCGATACCGATGTTAATGCTGATACATCGTGCATCCCTAATGTTCAATATAGATTCTGGTTGATTCACAACATTGTTGCCTTCTGCAAGCTGTTGAACACAGACTAAACCAACTAATTGAAACCTATGCTTGTTTTATGTATATTAGTATGTATTAGTTTTATGGGGCTTGCCTGGTAAAATAACGGTAAAATAAAATAAAATTACACCAGTGAATTTTGTGACAGATCAGTTCTTTCACTGCGGTGCTCCCGTGTTTGTCACCTGTTTGCAAAAGGCTCTGGTAATAGAGAGACATACACTCTGTTTTTCTGTATTAATGGGACAAATCACTGCTTCATTAAGAATTTTTCATGTCTGTGTGTTACCTGAAGTTCTTAATTTATATCATCACCTCATTTAACACTAAACTAATCCCAAATCCGTGATTCTCATCTATTTTTGGCCACACATTTGTCTGTATTTTTAAAGGTGAAACAGAAAATCAATAGGGATTGCCTTTTCTGCCTCCAAAATAAAGAAAAGCACCTTTTGTGAATAAAGCACTAATCATCAGTCTGTGAACTGAGGTTTGCCAWTTAAATAGTCTTACATGTTACCCTACCCTAATGTTGATGTGCAAAATTAGTTTCCAGTATATGAAACTCAACTTATTACACCACTCTTCTAAAATTTACATTAATTAATCTGCAACAACTGACAGTGTTTCAGCTCCTATAATATGGAGAAAATATTCCAACCACAGATGGATTTTTAAAGTCCAAAGAGGGCCACTCAGAGCCCTGGGGAACACTGGGAACTGAGGCTGTCARCGTGTGCACGAAACATCGACATCCTGAATCACTTATTCTCGTTTCCTCTCCTCCCAGACACCTTTGAAATGGTTTCAGAAGACGAGGAAGGGAAGCTGATGTTTAAGGTCAACTACCACTACATGTCCCAGGTTAAGAACGCCAGCGACACCAACAGTGCGGCCCGATCTCGACGCCTGGCCCAGGAGGCGGTGACCTTGTCCACCTCTCTGCCTCTTTCATCCTCCTCCAGCGTCTTTGTTCGCTGTGATGAGGAGAGGCTGGACATCATGAAGGTAATGCACCCATTTTTAACAGAGCTTAAACCGTGAGCTCATCCATAACAGCGTTCTGTTTATAGCAGGCATCTATGTGTCATATGTTTCTATCGTGCACTAACTTCGCTGACATTTTAATGTTTCTCACCTCGGACTCTGATTAATGACAGTCTCCTCTGCTAAATGTCAAAATCCTCATATGTTATACTGAATTTGGCAGGAAAGCACAGAGAAAGCAGTAGGAAGTCTGTTTAAAAAAAGAAACATATATCTATTTATCTTTAAGTGAGGGAGCCTAAGATTGCTTTCACATTGCAGAAGATATTGACCCATATCTGACCCATTTCAGAGTTTCTTTTGATGGTCCATTTTTTCCGTCCAAATCTGACCCTAGACTTTTTAAGAGGTGGTACTAAATGATCAWATCAAATGTTTTTCAAAGCAACTGCAGTCTGAGCGGTCATGTTATCAGACTTTTTGAGGTGTGTGGATTGATTCAGAAATTAGTATTATCAATAGCAGCGTCATTCAGTTAAAAGCTTGGAACTCTTCACATCTTCATCTGCAAAACAGAAATCCAGTTGGTTCATCTTTTAAAAATGTTCTACATTTGTCATGTCCTGGATGACTGAAAATTTACACCAACATGTAATACCAACAGTGGTTTACCATGTTTGATCATATTGATGATGGCGATTCTGGTCCACCATCCGGCGTCTCAGGAGGGGGAAGCAGTGCAGCACCAACACTGTTTATGGTGGGGATGGTGTACTGCTGACCTCAACTCGTGACGTTGTGTGCCGGTGGGCGGAATACTTTGAAGACCTCCTCAATCCATAGAGCCCACCAACATGCCTTCTGTTGAGGAAGCTGAGCCTGTGTACTGACTTTGGGTTGGGCTCTCCAATCTCTGGGTACGAGGTCACTGAGGTGGTCAAAAAGCTCCTCGGTGGCAGGGCCCCGGGG